CCAAATGCTGAACCAGCTTTGCAAATCTGGACAATCTTACATGGTCATAGTGCTTGGTCATTTGCTAACATTCGGTTGAGGATATCTGTGCCTATGTTCGTGAGAGATAATGGTCTGTAGCTTTCTTTTAATGTCTTTGTCTGATTTTGGCATTTGAATAATGCTGACTGCATAAAGTTAGAAAGTATTCTCTCTGCTTCTATTATCTAAAGAGATTACAGACAATGGTATCATTTCTTAAATGTTTGGTAGAATTCACCAGTAGATCCATCTGGTTCTGGTGCTTTATGTTTTGGAATGTTAGTACTTATTGATTCGATTTCTTTGATACAGGTCTATTTACATTGCCAATTTCCTCTTGTGTGAGTTTTGACAAGTTGTGTCTTTCAAGTGATTAGCTTTTCATCTAGGTCATCAAATTTGCAAGCATAGAGTTATTCATAGTATTCCCTTATTATCTTTTTTCATAGTAACCATCTTTATTTTCTTTTTAAAATTTTTATTTTATTTTATTATTCTCAGATTAGTTAACGTACTGTGTAGTCTTGGCTTCAGGAGTAGAACCCAGTGATTCATCTCTTACATATGACACCCAGTGCTCATCGCAAAAAGTGTCCTCCTTAATGCCCATCACCCATTTAACCGCCCCTCCCCCATCAACCCTCAGTTTGTTCCCTGTATTTAAGAGTCTCTTATGGTTTGCCTCCCTCTTTCTTTTTATCTTATTTTTCCTTCCCTTCCCCTATGTTCATCTGTTAAGGCCTCCCAAATTCCACATATGAGTGAAACAATATGATATTCATCTTTCTCTGACTGGTTTATTTCACTTAGCATAACATCCTCTAGTTCCATCCACATTGTTGCAAATGGCAAGATTTCATTCTTTTTCATCACCAAAAAGTATTCCATTATATATATATATATACCACATCTTCTTAATCCATTCATCAGTTGATAGACATTTGGGCTCTTTCCATAATCTGGCTATTGCTGATAGCACTGCTATAAACATTGGGGTCCATGTGCCCCTCCGAATCAGCATTTTTGTATTCTTTGGATAAATTCCTAGTGGTGCAATTGCTGGGTCGTAGGGCAGTTCTCTTTAATTTTTTGAGGAACCTCCACACTGTTTTCCAGAGTGGCTGCACCACTGTATCAGCTCTAGCAGTTTTTTGGTTGTGCCAGATTTTCCATGAAGAGTATCATTCCCACCAACAGTGCAAGAGGGTTCCTTTTTCTCCACATCCTCACCAGCATCTGTTGTTTCCTGATTTGTTAATTTTTAGCCATTCTGACCGATGCGAGGTGGTATCTCACTGTGGTTTTGATTTGTATTTCCCTGATGATGAGCACTGTTGAGCATCTTTTCATGTGTGTTTGCTATCTTGATTTCTTCTTTGAAAAAGTATCTATTCATGTCTTCTGCCCATTTCTTCACTGGATTGTTTTTTGGGTGTTGAGTTTATTAAGTTCTTTTTAGATTTTGGATACTAACCCTTTATCCGATATGTCATTTGCAAATATCTTCTACCATTCCATTGGTTGCCTTTTTAGTTTTATAGCTTCCGTCACTATGCAGAGCCTTTTTACCTTGATGAAGTCTCATTAGTTTATTTTTGCTTTTGTTTCCCTTGCCCAGTAAGAAGGTGCTATGACCAATGTCAAAGAGCTTACTGCCTGTTTTCTCCTCTAGGATTTTGATGGTTTCCTGTCTCACATTTAGGTCTTTCATCCATTTTGAATTTATTTTTGTGTATGGTGTAAGAAAGTGGGCCAGTTTCATTCTTCTGCATGTTGCTGTCCAGTTTTCCCAGCTCCATTTGCTAAAGAGACTGTCTTTTTTCCATTGGATACTCCTTCCTGCTTTGTCAAAGATTAGTTGGCCATATACTTATGGGTCCATTTCTGGGTTCTCTATTCTATTCCATTTATCTATGTGTCTGTTTTGGTGCCAACACCATACTGTCTTGATGATTACAGCTTTGTAATACAGGCAAAAGTCTGGGATTGTGGTACCTCCAGCTTTGGTTTTCTTTTTCAACATTACTTTGGCTATTCAGGGTCTTCTGTGGTTCCAAACACATTTTAGGATTGTTCTGGCCCTGTGAAGAATGCTGGTACAATTTTGATAGGGATTGCACTGAATGTGTAGATTGCTTTGGGTAGTATCAATGTTTTAACAATATTTGTTTTTCTAATCCATGAGCATAGAGTGTTTTTCCATTTCTTTATGTCTTCTTCAATTTCTTTATAAACTTTCTACAGTTTTTAGCATACAGGTCTTTTACATCTTTGGTTAGGTTTGTTCCTAGGTATTTTATGGTTCTTGGTGCAATTATAAATGGGATCGATTCCTTGATATCTCTTTCTGTTACTTCATTATTGGTGTATAGAAATGCAACCGATGTCTGTACATTGATTTTACATCCTGCAACTTTGCTGAGTTCATATATCAGCTCTAGCAGTTTTTTGGTCAAGTCAGGTTTTCCATGTAGAGTATCATGTCATCTGCGAAGAGTGCCAATTTGACTTCTTTACCAATTCAGATGCTTTTTATTTTGTGTTGTTGTCTGATTGCTGAGGCCAGGATTTCCAACACTACGTTGAACAACAGTGGTGAGAATGGACATCTCTGTCATGTTCCTGACTTCAGGGGTAAAGCACTCAGTTTTTCCCCACTGAGGATAATATTAGCTATGGGCCCTTTGTATATGGCTTTATGACATTAAGGTATGTTCCTTTTATCCCAACTTACTTGAGGGTTTTTATTAAGAGAGGATGCTGTATTTTGTCAAGTGCTTTTTCTACATCTATTGACAAGATCACATGGTTCTTATCCTTTCTTCTATTAATGTGGTGTGTCACATTGATTGATTTGTGAATATTGAATGAGCCCTGCAGCCCAGGAATGAATCCCATTTGATCATGGTGAATAAGTCTTTTAATATACTGTTGAATTTGATTTGCTAGTATCTTGTTGAGAATTTTTGCATCCACGTTCATCAGGGATATTGGCCAATAGTTCTCCTTTTTAGTGGGGTCTTTGTCTGGTTTTGGAATCAAGGTAATGCTAGCTTCATAGAATGAGTAAGTAAAAACTCCAACAGCTAAACATGAAAAGGGTATGGCTGGAGAAGGCCAGCTGGTCCCCAGACAAGTCCATCCCTACTAACATAAGGTGGAATTATCCTCACTGCTCAGAAATTCATCACGGCCATAATTCCAGAGCTGACTTCATTCAGGGATACTGATTGATTCTTTTTTTTTTTTTTTTAATTTTTTTTTTTCAACGTTTATTTATTTTTGGGACAGAGAGAGACAGAGCATGAACGGGGGAGGGGCAGAGAGAGAGGGAGACACAGAATCGGAAACAGGCTCCAGGCTCTGAGCCATCAGCCCAGAGCCCGACGCGGGGCTCGAACTCACGGACCGCGAGATCGTGACCCGGCTGAAGTCGGACGCTCAACCGACTGCGCCACCCAGGCGCCCCCTGATTGATTCTTTAAAAACTTCTAAGAAGGACAGAGATTATCTAAGATGTCAACTGTCAAAGTTTGTTATAGGAAATCCCTCATGTCACAGTTAATTTAGAAAAGAAGTGAAAAGGCCCAGTGTTCATGACTGTAGACCTCAGAACTCCCCATAATTAAATGAACAACTTTTAAACCTGATGTAATTATGACCTCCAAAGTAGATGATCCAGTGAGCCTACATTTAAAGTATTATCAAAGGTATCTTTAGGGATCTACTGGTCTCATATCTCTCCCTTTGCTCATATAAAACATTTCACTAAAAACAAGTCTGCAGCTGTCCTTGGGTAAAATGAACCACACAAAGTTGCTCTGTCAAGGGGGAAAGAAAGAAATCTATTCTCCATCTATGTAAGAGCCATAGGTATCCATGCAGTCTTAAAAAAATCAAAGGAGAATTGGGATCATAACTGGCATTTATCTTAAGGATTACAGACATTTGATAACATATATTCTATTCATAAAATGCTATATAATAAGGGGTAACCATATCCTTTAAATGCTTGTTTGAAAGGCAAGCCCTATCTAAATTTCAATTCAGAAATCTGAGACCTTAAAAAAGGTTTCTTTTCCTGATCATTTCATTTTTTTTCTCTCAGACAAACATTAAGTTATACTGACACAGGAAACAGTAATAGCAAAAACAGTATAGCCCTAAAACAAAAGACTAGGAAACTGGACATTAATCCCAGATTCGGCTCTTATCCTTTACTTCTCTCTTACCTTGGTCCAATCCTGTTTGGGACAGAAACCATGTTTTATTGATCTTTGCATATTAAACATTTTTATTTTTTATTTTTGAGAGACAGAGACAGATAGAGCATGAGTAGGGGAGGGGCACAGAGAGAGGGATACACAGGATCCAAAGCAGCCTCCAGGCTCTGAGCTGTCAGCACAGATCCCAACACAGGGCTCGAACTCGGGAACCTTGAGATCATGACCTGAGCTGAAGTCGGATGCTCAACCAACTGAGCCGCCCAGGTGCCCCTGATCTTTGCATATTAAATTAACTTGTATAGCTTAGATGATTATTAAATTATGAAGTTCCAGTATTCAAAACCTATTTCATGACTGATTCATTTTCTTGATAAAATGTTGAAGAACTATTGCCAAATAAGTGTGTGTTTCAGGTAAGTAAAAAGGATATTTAAACTTTTATTTTTACCATAACTCATAATAAGAAGAAATACATTTTACATCATAACAATTACATACGAATGTATGTATGTACCTATCCAAAACAAAAGTTATAAGCAAAAAAGCAATTTACCCTGATGCTTTTGGTTATTTTCTATTCAATTTTGTTTTCTAAAATGCTGTTCATCACCCACTAAAATATTTCATGACTTTCGAATGATTTGTGATCCAGAATTTGAAAAATATTGATCTAGAGAACTATCTTCTGGAAATAAGCATGGGAACAAACAGCAAATAAACTAGAAAAAAAGTTTTAAAATAATGGCTACTTACTTGGTTACTGCAAAAACGACATTAAGTGGCATCTGTTGATGAAATGGAAGGAAAGGCCTGGCGGGAGAAAGAAGGACACAAACATGTGGGACTTATGCATTATGTGCTCTCTGTAGCTTATTCCAACTCTCAGATTCGTCCCTTAAAATCAGTAAGCTTGAATATCCCATAAATCTGTAATCTGCAAACCTGGGCAAACACAAACTCACTGGGCAGTGGGGAGATTTTTGTTTAAAATGCAAATTACCAGGTCTAGCCCAGGAGACTCAGTACATTTAAAGTAGAGCTAATGAGGGGCGCCTGGGTGGCGCAGTCGGTTAAGCGTCCGACTTCAGCCAGGTCACGATCTCGCGCTCCGTGAGTTCGAGCCCCGCGTCGGGCTCTGGGCTGATGGCTCAGAGCCTGGAGCCTGTTTCCGATTCTGTGTCTCCCTCTCTCTCTGCCCCTCCCCCGTTCATGCTCTGTCTCTCTCTATCCCAAAAATAAATAAACGTTGAAAAAAAAATTTTTTTTAAATAAAAAAAAAATAAATAAATAAAGTAGAGCTAATGAATCTGCATTTTTAATAAACATTCTGATGTTTTCTCTGAAGATGGTAAAGAAGCCACACTTTCAGAAGTGATGCCTTCTACCTGGACTTCAGTTGGTCATTAGATCCCACTTCCTTGAGACATTCTGAAATTCCCAGTGATTTAGTTTTAAAAACTACCCCCAGAAAGTCTAGAAATTGAGTATACCATGTTAAAAATTTAACATTTCTCTGAAAAATCAGCATCACATAACTTCCATAAGGAGGATGCTCACAAATAACAATGCAGATTACAAATTTACTTTCTCAAGGAAGCCTATGTATATCAAGATTTTTTTTCTTTTTTTTTCAATATATGAGGTTTATTGTCAAATTGGTTTCCATACAACACCCAGTGCTCATCACAAAAGGTGCCCTCCTCAATACCCATCACCCACCCTCCCCTCCCTCTCACCCCCCATCAACCCTCAGTTTGTTCTCAGTTTTTAAGAGTCTCTTATGCTTTGGCTCTCTTCCACTCTAACCTCTTTTTTTTTTTCTTCCCCTCCCCCATGGGTTTCTGTTAAGTTTCTCAGGATCCACATAAGAGTGAAAACATATGGTATCTGTCTTTCTCTGTATGGCCTACTTCACTTAGCATCATACTCTCCAGTCCCATCCATGTTGCTACAAAGGGCCATATTTCATTCTTTCTCATTCCCACGTAGTACTCCATTGTGTATATAAACCACAATTTCTTTATCCATTCATCAGTTGATGGACACAAGATTATTTTTCTAACCACATAAAACCTATAGGGAGATCCTCATTTTAATTTGACTATATGGATATCACATGAGCATTAATCACAAATGAAATGAAGTGAAACTTTCAACCATGTTGGTTTTGGCAACATTCACACAACAGATAGCAAACGTCACCTACGTGTCCACTTATAACAATTGCCCATGTACTATGACTGTCATGGTGTCTCTGCTGCATCTCACTTGATTTGATGACTTCATTTTGTTCTCAAATATACGTTCCTATTTACAGCTAATAGCTCTGAAGTCAGGCAGATTTAGCTGGAAATCCCAGATCTGCCACTTACTAACTTAAGACACTTCAAGCAATTTACTTCTCCTGTCTTGGTCTCAGCTTCCTTACTGATAAATGGGGATAATATATCTTATCCTATATTTCTGTTGTAAAAATTGATTATATATATCAAGCACTTAAATTGGTGCCTGGCACACTGCATGCACTCAGAAGTGACAGCTGGTATCATTATCATAAAGACATTCTCTAAAAATACCAGGGCTCATTTTCATTAGTAATTACTTTTACCTTTCAAAGTATTTATAGCGATTCTTTCCAGTTACTTCAGGATCTGCATAAACCTCTTTGGCCATCTGAAAAGATGTATCTGTTCTAAAATGAAGCAGGAGAACATTATTAAAGTCTAACATGTCATTTCCAAACATTTCTATTTCATATTTTTATGTCTATAAAGTAGGAGATACACAGGGTATCTGAGACTGAGAGCAAAGTCTTCTCTAACATGCATCTGACTGACCTACGTCTCAGACTAGCTAATACAGTAAAACCTTAGATTGTGAGTAACTTGTTCTGTGAGTGTTCTGTAAGACAAGCAAACATTTCTAACAAATTTTAGTTGATACATGAGCAATGTCTTGCAATACAAGAGGTACCAGATGACAAATGTCACATGATCACAACTGAGCCAATGGTTCTTCTCTCTCTCTCTCTCTCTCACTGCGGGGCTGTGGGTGATCCTCTTCCATGCTCAGCTGTTCAGTCTCAGGCCATGGTGTTTGGCAGAAATCAGTGATTTTTCAGAATGTTGGAAGGTGCCCACAACTGACACTGGTATTTTCTTTTTTTTTTTATTTTATTTTTTTTATTTATTTATTTTTTCAACGTTTATTTTTTTATTTTTGGGACAGAGAGAGACAGAGCATGAATGGGGGAGGGGCAGAGAGAGAGGGAGACACAGAATCGGAAACAGGCTCCAGGCTCTGAGCCATCAGCCCAGAGCCCAACGCGGGGCTCGAACTCACGGACCGCGAGATCGTGACCTGGCTGAAGTCGGACGCTTAACCGACTGCACCACCCAGGCGCCCCATGACACTGGTATTTTCTTGTCACTTCAAAACACCTGTGGACAGTAGCACCTGCGTGGCTCAAGTCAGTTAAGCGTCCGACTTCAGCTCAGGTCATGATCTCACAGTTTGTGAGTTTGAGCCCCGCATCAGGCTCTGTGCTGACAGCTCAGAGCCTGGAACCTGCTTCAGATTCTGTGTCTCCCTCTCTCTGCCCCTCTCCCACTCATGTTTTCTCTCTCAAAAATAAATAAACGTTAAAAAAAAAGTTCAAAGCACCTATGGACAGTCCTTTGCTTTTCCATACAAGAGTAAGCCTAGGAATGCTTTGCTTCATTCTAGGTCAGGTTGCCTGCAGATAAAGACCCTTTCCTTTGCTGCCTTATTACCAGTTACATTAAATATAGTAAATGACAAAGAGTTTATTAATACTGTACTGTAGTCAATATCCATGTGAGTGTATACAATGGTGCCCATGCAGTAAAAGATTCCACTGAGCCAAGAGACAGCAGTGATTCCATTAGTGAAAGTCATCCTACACAATAACCCTCCTCTCTCGTCTCCCTCACACCAGCCATGAAGGTTTTCAAAGGTAAGTGCAGGTTAATTTGTTCACTTTTCTTTATATTTTGTATTTTCCTTACGATTTTATATTATATTACAGTATTGTAATCATTTTTATATGAATATTTTTGGGTTGTGGAACTAATCGTCTGAATGTCCATTATTTCTTATGGGGAAATTCGCTTTGATATACAAGTGCTTTGGATTACAAGCGTGTTTCCAGAATGAATTATGCTCTCAAACCAAGGTTTTGCTGTAATTACTTTCCCTGAGCCAGGAAGCCAGGAACCAACAAGAGGAAGTAAGAGTAAGAAAAGAATAGACATAGGCTATCCCACATACAAAAATGCACACTTTTAATTAATAGCACATAGGAATAACAGAGTTTTAAGAGACAATTTTTTATGTCCATGCTGAAAGGTAGCTTTTTAAAAATTTACTAAGTTTGACTCAAATAATTAAAAGAATAAAGAATTCAAGAGACTTATCTCTGAAGGTGCTTTGGCTGTAAGTCTCCAAAAATATATATTTAGATACTAGCAGAAAGGTATAGTTGCAATTTCTAAGATAGATCAAAGAAACAACAAATTCAGCCCCCTCTACCTTTGCTGGCAAGTTGTTATTTAATATATATATTCACTCCAAGGTTCTGAGAATATCTACTAACTTATAAACCTATAACCATTGCCCCTAAATCAGGCTTGTTTTGGGTAGAGGGGTTAACATATTTTTTTCAATGTTTATTTACTTTTGAGAGAGAGAGAGAGAGAGAGAGACAGACAGACAGACAGACAGGGTGTGAGCGGGAAAGGGGCAGAGAGAGGCAGACACAGAATCCAAAGTAGGCTCCAGGCTCTGGCCTGTCAGCACATACCGATGCGGGGCTCAAACCTATGAACTGCGAGGTCATGACCTGAGCTGAAGTCAGACACTTAACTGACTATGCCACCCAGCCCCCCCACTAGGTAGAGGGGTTAAGAGAGAGAATTGGGGGTCAATCAACCTAGGTATAACATCACAATTGTACTTTCAAAAAATGAAGAATAAAAAAAAAATTTTTTTTTTAATTTTTTATTTTTTTCCAACGTTTATTTATTTTTGGGACAGAGAGAGACAGAGCATGAACGGGCGAGGGGCAGAGAGAGGGAGACACAGAATCGGAAACAGGCTCCAGGCTCTGAGCCATCAGCCCAGAGCCCGACGCGGGGCTCGAACTCACGGACCGCGAGATCGTGACCTGGCTGAAGTCGGACGCTTAACCGACTGCGCCACCCAGGCGCCCCAAGAATAAAAAATTTTAAGAAGAAAAATAAATTCATTAAAAACATGAGTAGCAACTGAAGCTACCTGACACTTACATGGCAAGGTGCCAGAGGGCTTCTCTGTGTTTCTCCTCATGTCTCTTCCATTCCTGACGGATGAATGGTGGGACAGGGTCTGCCTTGCTCCAATACAGAGAATATCTTGGATAATGAATCAGGTTACTGAACATGGTTCTAAACCTGGGAACTTTTCTCTAATATTAAGACAAGGAGGTAGAGAAGAAAAGGACAAAATTTTACCATCAGATTTTCTAAAGCATTTTATTTATTATTGTAAATTTTTTTAAAGGTACAAAACAGTGAATGTGGCATAGAAAGAAGAGATATTGTATATGCACAGACTATCTCTAGAAAGATACCCAAGAAACTGATAATAGATGACTACGAGAAGGGGCCTGAGGGTCAAAATTTACTTCACACTATATACGCTTTTGTACTACTTGAATTCTTTTAACACAGGCATACGTAACTTTCCCCATTGAAATAAATTAGGTTATAATGAATCCTTTATTCACTATTAATTAATACTCACACTGAGCCACAAGTATCAAGATGCCTTGTCCCCTAGGAGTCATGACAAAGTAATTTCTGCAGAATATAAAATCCACTGGAGATCTGATGACTAGTTAATCTGATCAGTGCAGTCAGTAAAACTAGATGGTTCAAGTTCATCAGGCTGCCTTAATGAATGAATTAGACCTACCAGTCTGTTTCGAATCAGGTTAGCTTGGATATTTGCCTGTGTGTGGTCTTTCTCACTTGACACAATAAACAATGGGTCTGCAAAATAAGCAATAAGGTAGTATAAGGAATAGAACATACTCCTGGGCTGAGAATAATGGCAAAACAATGTAATCACTTAATTGGGAAACAAATTATAAAAACTAGATACTGCCTAAATCTGTAGCAACTCACAGCCCTGTTACTCTACCACCAGTGAGAGTCTATTAGATTCATCTCTTTTCAATGTATTCCAAAGTCAGTTTATAGAAATGGAAGGCAAAAAGAAGGCCTAATAAGTTCTCAAGCACCAGAGCTTAAACATGCGGTCTTCTCTCCTATGAACAAACCACTTTCTGGGTCTGGATAGGCCAGGAAATACTCTAAGATGAAAGACCATGTATACACTCACTACACCCATCTGCAAGTGAAAGAAATAACACATTTGGGCACTACTTCCCCTATTCAGGACAAAAGAAAGCTACAAACTCTTCACAACATGGTACCTCAGAATTGATAAATGTAGTAAGTAAATGTCATTGTCTAACAAGAGATAAATAAAATCAGCTATAATTCACTCCTTGAATCTGTATGTATGTTGATGACAGGACTAAATTTTTCTCCAAAGTTCAACAAAAGATTGCCATTATTTTAAGTATGTGCTTGTTAGATACATCTTTAAAGTGATTTATTCAAGCTTTATTGTACCATCCCTTAAAATTAAACAGTATGGCATTAAATTCATAAGCAAGTCTATTCAGAAACAGACTTGATTTCCCAAGTACACATCTCTTAAGAAACAAATACCCTGACTAACTGGTCTAGATGACTTGGTAACATATTTCTTCTAATATGCTGGTATGGTGATTTATAAGTAATTTAATTTAAATTTAATTTAGATAATGTGAGTCAGTTCCTAGAGTCTAGTAATTCCTCAGTTACCCAACAAAAATGATATACTGGAAACAGACATTTAATATTCCCCCCAAGGTTGAAAAGCTATAAGAGGCTCAAGCTCTCTTTCATTCAAGAAAGATTTATTGACTGACTACTATGTTCAAGGTGCTTGGAACACATCAACAAAAAGATAAAGATCCCTGACTTCATGAGAGAGAAAGACAATAATAACAACATAACAAATTAGCATATTATATAATACGTTAGAGTTAGAGGGTAGTATTACTAAAAAAAAGCGGGGAAAGAACAGCTAAGGGAGATGGGGCTGCAATTTTACACATGGTAGTCAAGGCAGGCCTCACTGAGAAGGTGACATTTAAGGAGACTTGCAAGTGGGGAGTTAACTATACAGTTATCTGAAGGAAGAGAGTTTGAAGCAGAGAAAACAGCTAGAGCAAATGCCCTAGGACAGCGGCATGCCCGACATGTTTGGAGAACAGCAAAGAGACCAACATGATTGAAACACAGTGAGAGAGGGAAAAAATAATAGAGAAAAGGTCAGGGAAGTTATCCAGGGCCTACATCACAGGGAGCTTTGTGAGCCACTGAAAAGAATTTGGCTTTAATCTGAGTAGAGTGGGGAACCACTGCAAGATTTTGAGCCAAGAAGCGATAAAATCTGACTTACATTTTAAAATGTTCATTGTGGTTGCCCATGAAGAACAGACCTCACGGAAGCAATGGAAGAGGCGGGGAGACCTATTAGGAGGCTACTGCAATAAGCCTAGAAAAGAGATATGATGTTGGTTTGCACCGTGGTGGTGGCAACAGAAGTGATGAAATAGGGCAGGATTCTAGATATATTTTTAAGGTGGAACAGAAGGGACTTATTAATGTGTTGGAATGGTGTGAGAGAGAGAGAAAGAGAGAGGAAACATGATGGCCTCAGCAGCTAAAGTATGGGGTTGGTATCAACTGATACAGGAAAACCTGTGGTGGAGCAAGTTTGTAGGGAGAACATTAGGAAAGCATGCTTAGGTATCTATTATGTGTCCAAGTGGAGATATAAAGTAGGCAATTTCATATACAAATCTACAGTTTGGGATAAAGTCTGGACCTGTGATACAAACTTGGGAATCATCACCTTTAGATATTATCTTCTTTAGCTTCATCACCCAAATCCACCTCTATGACTCAAGTTGAGAAGGTGATGGAAACTGGGCTGACTTAGGAATGGCAAGGCCAAATTTTATGGCCTAAAATTACAGACTAGTGAATTTGAAGGCAGGACGAATGCACCTGTTTAAAGGGAAGAAGGCTATAGCTTCAACACGTCTAATATATTGGGAATAGCATCGGACGAAGGGAAACTTCTACTCGTATTCTTTTTTTAAGTGATTTAAAAGATGTCACTGGGCCTATGGTTCCAACTGTGTTGTTCATCTTAAGTGAATTTAGCCTGCATTTCCCCTAACTCTAAATAATAAATTATAAACCATTTTCCTCTTATTCCTATAAGGAGTATGAAGACATGATCTATAGAAACATTCCTGCCATCTATAGAAGATAATTACACAATACTATGTGATTTATGACTACACATTCTGTGACATACCCTACAATTGTGATCATAATCATTGCTCAAAGGCCAGACCCCTGAGATGCCAAGGTAATGGCACTCACCAGGCATCACTTGCTTATTCTTACACGAGTGTTAAGTGCTTTATGTGCAATATTCCATTTAATCCTCACAAAAACCCAATGAGGTAGGCACTAGGCCTCCATTTTATAGGTGAGGAAACTGAGGCTTCAAGAAGTTAGCCACTTACGGATGGAACAGTTAGAATGTGAACTCCAATTCTTCTGGCTCCCAGGCCTTACATTATCAAAAGCCCATGAATTTTACAGGGAAAAGTTTCTCATGGAAATCATGAGAAAGCCCCTCAGCCAATTTACCCATCTTGTAGAAACTGTTCTAATAAGCCTAGGAAGTTGTCACACCAAGTAATCATAAGAGACAGGAAGTGTTTCAAACCCCAAGACATAATGATTACTTTTAGGGAAAGGCATAATAAATTGCATATTCTGGGGGAAAAGATAGCAAGAAAGAGCTTATGATAAACCTAGAAAGCATTTTAAAACATTTTTGGAAGCTAGAAAAATTAAATGGATCATATATTTAAAAAGCTTTAACTATCAGGGCAATAGTGTAGCTACTAATCCATCAACAATTTAGATTCAGGAAAGTGATAACATATGATGGTCACTTAGACATTTGAGAGACACAAAACACTTAGCAAAAAATTGAGGAAACTGCAAAATGGTATACAAATGAGGTATGATCTATAAAAAAAATGATGTTAACTCTAAAGTACTTTACAAATGTATCTGAATTAACCTTAATTGCTAGAGTGATCAGAGAAGTAAAAATTACATTTAATGAAGACACCCAAAGCTTCTTGGAGGAGCAAAAGCCTTGCAGACAATTAACTATGGTGAAAAGGCCATTGGGTTTGAGGGGTGTGGGTGGGTGAAGGGTGAAAAAACTTGGAAATGTGCTTATGTGTGTGTATCACTGACCACAACACCTACCCACTGCAGTTCTTTCTGTCAGGATGGAAATCTGACCCAAGCCAGTCAACTCATTGGCTGGTCAAGAACATATCTCATTTCTCCAATTTTCAGCTAAGATACACAAGGACTCACAGGTGAGCTTTATTTAGGATAAGAGGCCATGTAGACTGCCACCCCAGTCCCTGTCATAGTAAAAGAAATCCATAAACAAGTGGCTTTCTGTCAGATGGAAGGACACATATATGCACAGAAAAAAGCAGGGTTAGAGTTGCCAGATAAAATACAGGATCCTCAATTAAATTTAAATTTCACGTAAGCAATGAATAACTTTTTATATAAATAGATCCCAAATATTGCATGGGACTAAAATATTACTTGTTATTTATCTCAAATGCAAATTTAACTGCACATCCTGTATTTTTACTTGCTAAATCTGACAACCTAAACAAGGTTAAAAAAAAAATAGGTCCAAGAAATCAAGCAGAAGGGCACTACACCTTAGTTCTGACCTTCCCTGTCTTGGTTCTACTTTGTCCTGGCTATATTATGCTTCCTGTCCATTAATAGACGTGAGATTGCCCGTCTAATTGGAAGAATCCAAACTTTATTTGGCCTATTTTGAGTGGGTTTCTGTTCCTTGCAAGGGACACGGAAACATTTAGTAACCCCCTGCAGAAAAAAAAGGGGGGGGGGGAGAGAGAGACTTTTAAGGATAAAAGACAAGAAACTTGATAAATTATTTGCCTGTCTTTACTAAATAAGTATATCCCATTCTCAAATTACTTTTGAAATAAACATGGTGTGTTTACGAGGGTTTACTAGATTTATTTTACAAGACGAAACCAAGAGTGAATAAAGAAAACCACAGGCCAGAATATGTAAGCAACCATTACAAAGCCCCTATACCAGGAAATGGGTAACCTATTGATTCCCAGTGAAAGAAGATCCTGGGAATCCCAGAGGAGATACCACACGGCTAAAAGCAATGCAAGGTTCAGGTGAAAAGCATGGGACTGCTGAGGGCAAAATCGGGGGGAAAAAAAATGTACCAACACTGGAATAGGTGCTGAGAAGGCTGCAAAAATGTGTTAAACAAGAACTTAAAGAACTTAAGGTCCAGTAGAAGAGACAGAACATAAACGGGCAAGCTGGGCATTAAAATAAACTGGGGCTTTACTGATCCAAAGGAACACAGTGGACCTAGTTTATAAGCAGTGCTTTGATAAATAACAATAAGTTTTAAAAGAGAGAGAGAAAACTGAAAACAAAGCCGAGATAAACTGGTACTTCTTTATCTACAAAGCCAAATTTGGAGTTGCCCAGAGAATGGGAAAGGGAAGGTCATTTTTGTCTGGCACTTCATACAATTAGAATGAGGGAATGTTGAGTGAATCTCCAAGTATGCTAAATCATTGCATACATTTCTGGATAACAAAACACCCGGTACAGGTTTCAGAAAGATTGCTTAAAGCTGTGCAGACTATCTAGAAAAGACAGTAAAGCGATTGCCCGTGGTGTTCCTCCTAGACGCAGAGCGCACCTGAGGCTTCCGACGCGCGCACAGGAGCACCGCCACCTGGGGAGCTCTGCGCTGCTCTCACCCAACAAAGGATAACCTTGGTGAAGGGATCGTCCCGAGGCTGGTCTCCCGTTCACCTCGCCCCTTAGCCGGGTATCACCGACCCAAAGCCCACCTAGGCCAGGAGTCGACAACTCTGGAGGGAGGTCCGGTGCCGCCCTTACCGTACAGAAAATCATACGGTCGACTGGAGGAGACGTTGCCCCAGGTCCCCGACTTCACCCCGCACCGGGTTTGAGACACCTGCGGGTTGGCCTGGGGCTCCTCGATAGTCACTACATGGTTCATGGTGTCGACTCTTCCCTCCGGCCAGCCGGGGACCAACTAGAAAAGCCTAGCTGTTGTGCGCACGGCAGCTATGGTAACCTCCGCCAGAACGCTGAGAGAAGGGGGGGCGAGGAGCAGGAGAGGATGGTCCGGACGAATGCGCGGGGAGGGGCTTGGAACGGAAGGGCGGGGATTGTGTGGGAAAGGACCAGTAGGGTGAAGAAAAGGGAGGGGTGGGGCGAGACGCAGGAAGGGAAGGAAGTGGGGAAAGGAGAGCGCGGAGGAGCGTAAAAGGGTGTGTGGGGTGGGGAGAGAAGAAGGATGGAAAAGAAGGGCGGGCTTGAGGAGGGAAGGGTGCCGGGCGGGGAAGGGCGTCCTCACTTCTCACTGAACTTACAAGAGTACCGCGAGCCCTCGACCGCCCTCCTTGGGCCCTCGCCTCTGGCTGCTCTTCAAATCCAGCAGAGATTTGACCATTAAAATTCTTAACTCTTTCGGAAATCCCAGGGAAATCTGAATCTTCTAGTATAGTTTAGGTTTTTCATTTCCGACATCCCCTTTCCGCAGCGCTTGTTCTGCTTTTAAAACTATTAAGCAAAATTTTAAACATAGGCAAAGGTAAATCCACTTTTAATAACCTTCACGGACTCATCACCAAGAATCAACAATTAACATTTTGCCCATCTAGTTTCATCCCCTCGCCTGCTCCGTGTTTAACTATTTTGAAACAGATCCCAGACATTTTACCCTTAAATTAATCTGCATCTCAAACTGACACGGATTTTCTTAACTTCACCACCATTATCACATGTAACAAAATTAGTAATTCCTTTGTATCATCTAATACTCAATACATATTCAAATTAACTTGGCTGAATCCAAAATATCATTTAATAGTTGGGTTTTTTTTTCCCCATTAAAAGCATAAAAAAAAAAGTCTTCACACTGCATTTTGGTATGTCTCTTAAGTCTTATCCTAGAACAAGAGATTTCTAATACTTTGAATGATTTTATTACCTGGGATTCTTCTATAAACTTTCTCTCACCAGCTCTGGTTATCATGAAATACAGGGATCCTAGAAGAAAGGCGTGATAAATGCTGGGCTTTTTCACTTTAATTATAAAATTTCAGAGAAATTAGTTGGTCCCCTAGCAACCTCCAATGTTAACCAGTAAGGTTTTGTTTAGTTATTATTAGCAATGCATACATTTTACATATCTGATGAGTTTTAATCCATTATTATTTATGATGCTCAAATTATCCTGTTAGGCTAGTGGCACACCTTAGAGTTGACTTCTTTATCCCTTTGATGTGACCTATAGACACATAGAATAAGCCTCCTGGGCTGCTACACCTCTTTCCACACATACTCCTGGTTTTGTTTGCTCCTAAACTTCTTGGGGCTTTTGAACCAGCCATATACTTTGTCACTCCCAAGTCTTTGCTCAAACTGATTTCTTTGCCTAAAATGCTTTTTCCTATTTATGCACCCCAACTAATTTAGGTCTCCTTGAAGACTCAGTGCTAACCTTACTACATTTATGTAGCTTCCCCAAATCCCCCAAATAGATTGAGGGTTCATTCTTTCTTCCAATGCTATAGTAGCACCAATATCATGGATCACCTTGCATTAGTAATGGTTTGCAACTCTCCTGCACACAACTGTGCGTTCATTGTGGACACAGGCCTTCACATGGTCATTTGGTATCTCTGAAGTACCTGGTAAATAAAATCTTAATAAAACGATTCCTAAATGAATAAATACATCCACTTATTAAACAAATTTACTGTCAGGGCACCTAGGTGGCTCAGTCAGTTGAGTGTCCAACTTCGGCTCAGGTCACGATCTCATAGTTTCTGGGTTTGAACCCTACATTGGGCTCTGTGCTGACAGCTTAGAGCCTGGAGCCTGCTTCAGAGTCTGTGTCTCCCTCTCTTTCTGCCCTTCCCCCACCGGTTCTCTCTCTTTCTCTCTCCCCCCCCAAAATAAATTAAAAAAAAAAAAACAATTTACTGTCTACTATAAAATAGGTATTGAAGATTCTGAGATAATTTATACAGCTCATTGGATGGTGAAGAAAACAGACCCAGAAACAAATAAAATACAATGTTGTATGGTGTGATATTTTTCTGTCTGTGGGCATAGCTACATTTCCACTTTCTGTCCATTTTCCCCAGAATGCTCCTCACCCCTGGCCCCCCCCCCATCTTCACGCTGCTGACTTCTCATCGTTCAAGTTCTCAGCTAAAATGTCCCCTCAGAAAGACTTACCTCACTGAATCACATAAATTAATCTTAAGTAGCCAACAACCAGCCCCCTCCATAAATACACTGGAAGACATTCACCAATAAATATGTCAAATGTGATGAGATAAGTGACTATGTGAATGTCTTACATAGACTGTACTGGCCATTTTACAGGAGTTGTTCACTCTCTCCCTTGCTGGGAGGAAGCAAGTAGCCATGTTGGGGACCCTACATACCAAAGTACCGATCCTCTTGGAGCTGAGGGCAGCCTCCAACCCACAGCCAGCAAGAAACCAAATCCTTCAATCCTACAACTGCAGGAAACTGACTTGTGCCAACAACTTGAGTGAAATTAAAAGCATATCCTTCCCAGGGCATGTGGGTGGCTCAGTGGGTTGAGCATCCATCTCTTGATTTCGGCTCAGATCATGATCTCATGGATCATGAGTTCGAGCCCAATGTTGGGCTCTGCGTTGACAGCATGGAGCCTACTTGGGATCCTCTCTCTCTCTCTCTCTCTCTCTCTGTCTCTCTCTGTCTCTCTCTCTGTCCCTCCCCTGCTCACACTTTCTAAATACGTACATACATACATACTTAAAAAAAAAAAAAAGGATATCCTTCCCCATTAGAGCCTCAGATAAGACCACAGTTTTATCCAATATCTTGATTGTAGTCTTGTGAGACCCTAATCAGAGGAGCTACTTAAGCCATGTCTAGATTCCTAACTATAAAAAACTGAGATAATAAATGTGTATTCCCACTAGGTTTTTGCTAATATTGCTACACAGCAAGAATTAACATTAGTTAATTCCACTAATGTGGAATCTTTATGAAATTACATTCTGCGTCTTGTGGTTTACTTGTATAAAAGTAACTTTGATAATGTAGAGAGGCGTAAGTTAATAAAAAACCCATGTTGGGAGACAGTTTGCTGTGTTTCTGCTTGTCTTGTAAGGGGGATACTGTCTGCCTTGTTCCTTTGTGTAGGAAACAACCTTGGACAATAGAGATAGTGTGTGATTCTGGAGTAAAGGGCAGGTTTGCTAACAACTTTAGAAGTCAGATGGTCTCCCTTTGAGCAAAGGGCATACATTCTTACTGCCTATTATTAAAGATTTGGGTTTCCTAATATCATTATTTTTTTCCTATAATGCAACCCAGTGTGTATGCAGATGTCATCTGGCCTTCGTTACACCACCGTGTGGGAATTGGGGCTCAGAGAACTGGCACAAAAATGCTGGTACATTACTGCTATGGCTGTAAGAAATAAATTATCCCTTATCTCTAACCTAACAGTTGTCTGGCTTCTATTGGCGTTCATGGGACTGTGGTAGGCAAATTGGGTAAAATTTCAAAACCTTCAGAGTTCTTGAAAAGCTACAGAGCATAATGTATTGCACATCTTTAGCTGTGAAATTTGGAAAGCTTTCCCCCATCCCCAGAGACAAAGTGTAAATACTATACAAAATTACCTCCAAACTTATTAACTAGGGAAGTGAGAATTCAGGACCTGTAATTCTTCTGTCTCAGCATATGGTGTCACTCCTCTACCAACATCAACTACCCACCCTTGCTTGGTGAAGTCTCCATACCTGGAATTAGTTAGGCATGAAAAATAGCTAAGTACTTTCATCATGGAGGGATTTTAGTTGTTGCTTGTTACATTACTAGGGCTGTCATCCACAGAATGCTTGGTTCCATTCATAGGTGATGTTCCCATTCAGTACTTCACAATAACGTATTCACTGTACTATAAAAAAAGTCCATTACAGTCACCTTTTCAACTCTTGCTGCCTACTAATATAGCAATTACAATAGCACTAACAAAGAGCCCCAGGGGCTTAAAATAGTAATGTATTGCTGATTATAATCATAACCGGGAAGCAAGAATGTGATATGAAATGTACTAATCAAACCAGCCTCTGAGTTGCCTCTGTAAAACAGATGGTTGAATCTAATCTCTCTCTCTCTTTGTTTTTTTTTCAATTTAAATTCAAGTTAGTTAACATACAGTGTAGTCTTTAGTATTGGCTTCAGGATTCATCCCGTGATTCATCTCTTACATAAGACACCCAGTGCTCATCCCAAAAAGTGCCCTCCTTAATGCCCATCACGCATTTAACCCATCCCCCCATCCACCTCCCTTCCAGTTTGTTCTCTGTATTTAAGTCTCTTATAGTTTGCCTCCCTCTCTGTTTTTATCTTATTTTACTTTCCACACACCACCTACTCTCAATTTAATCTCTAATTACAGCTCTCTAAAATTGTGTTTTTCTTGGAGGAAGTGGGTTTTTGAGATTTTTCTTGGGGGAGAATGGGAAATACTAAATGTCATTGTTTTATACTCCTACGTTTCCTTTAATACTAAAACCATCCTGTTGCTGGGTAAACTCCAGAGACCTAGGGCCCTGGGGAACTGACCCAGCCAGACCTGAAGGAGTTGCTGAAGGTTCTTGGTCCTGTCATGAGAAGGAACTCAAGGACACACACTCAGCATAGTGGATGAGTAACAGAAGCAGGAAAGTTTATTAAATAAAAAAGTACACTTTGGAAATATGATAGCAAGAAAGAGAGAGCGATGCATGCCCTGAGGGTTTGGGTGTCTTGTTATTGACCTTTGCTAACTAGGAGTCAGAATATTTATTACTTGGGAAACAATGCTTCATGTTTTTTCTTCCTAATTTGGTCAGAGGTTTCTCTTAACAGCATCCACAACCTTGGCTCATTCTTGTTAGATCTAGCTTCTTGTGGAGTGCTGCCAGGACAGGCTTCTGACTTTCCCAACAACTGGCCATGACTTCCTTGGTGCTGGCCTCCAGGTATCCTGTTAGAACCTAACTAACTGCCTACTCTAACAATCCCACAAGTCTAAGACAT